AACTTAAGAGTTTGTTTCCATCACTTTTGGATTAAGGTAGTGAAAGCCAATATCTCTTATGCTACCGCAAAGTAGCTGGAAAATAATGCTGAACATTACACCATGTTATGAGTTATACCCCATTCAGACATAGGCTCCCTTTGGGTGGTAAAGGCATGAGGAGTAGTGAAAAGACATCTCTTAGAAAATGAGGCACCATGATGGACATCAAATGCTGGAAGTGTCTAGAGATAAGATTGATCCATGTCATCCACAGGAAGTGCCTGGCAGCACTATACTGGTAGACTGACCCATTCAATTGCTTGTATATTCTAGACACTGTCCATAGGAAGAGCCCAATATCACTATATGGGTTAGACTGCTTTATCTCTGGATCCAAATATTGGGATCTTGGGTACTGTTGCAATAAGATGGGCACTGTACACAGAAAACACCTAGTGGTACTATTCAAGTGATGGTACTGGACATTTTTCTTCTATGAGACCACCTGTCTTGAGAGAAAAGGTTCTCCATATACATATTTAATGACTATATAGTGTTATGACCTGTCATTAGAGACTATTTTGTTTTGGCAGAAGTGGTGGCCTTTCAAGACAGGTTCCACTGTGTTACTATTAACTGGATGCCAAGACAATATAGAATATTGAGCTTCATGTATCAGCAGAAATTATATAGCAATATTAAATGAGATTTCTATAAAAATGCACCAGACCTGCACTTGCTAATATGGTGATAGCAATGTGAAGGCATGCCAGCATGACCCATTCAGGTACATAGGTACATACCAAAAGCACCTAAGTGTGTAAAGATGGCAAAGTCATAACACTGAAAAGTTACAAACTTTGTTGCAGTCCACCGAAAGAATAAATGTTGCAAATTTTAGATGATGGGGTATACTTTCCTTCAATTACAAACCCCCTCCAACTTGTTTTTAGAAAACTTCCAAACCATTTGTATGGATTTTGCAAGACCTCTCTGTCTATAGACAGTGCTACTCAGCATGAGTGGAAGTAGCAAACGGTCAATTTCATCCAAATTGTCATCAATCACAGTATCAATGGGAGATCACTCTATCAGCTACTAGGTAAGCAGAAAAACTTTTTAGCTTAAAAACCTTATCTTAATATGGGATGGCTGGATTTACGAATTTTAATAGTTCTCCCAAGGTATTATGACTTGGTAATGTATCTGAAGAAAAACCCAAATTTGGCTCAAAACAAAATTGAAAATTTAAGCTTTGTTTTAGCCATTTTCTCTTGTGCCTCTAAATATTTCTTTTGTTTCCATAATATTTCATCATAGAGACACCATGCATGTTGTCCATGTAACTAAAAGTGCTTTACTGTACAACAAGGATTTGATCAAAACTCAAAGTAAAAAAAAATTAAATAAGTGCCATTATGCCTAATAATCTAATTAATCTAATTATAAGAATTAAACCTCCATAAATTTCACTAGGGTACCTCAAGAGTTGTTCGCTTAATCATGCTAGCAAGGGTTTTGCTGAAAATGTTCAAGCATGAGTAAAACAAAATTTAGAATTTATTGTAATGATCTGAAAATTTAAGATCATCTGCATATGTATACAAACTCGTCTGCAAAATTTACTTTGCCTATGCTGACTGGTTTTTACTACTATCTAGCTCATAAGATTCACAGGATTGATATGTAGAGGAATCAACATTACCCAATCACTCATATTGTAAAAATCTATGAGAAGGGTATAATTTTTGGGGTCCCTAAGAGATTGTATATAGCCAACTAAACAGCAAACATTCAACAAAATGCTAACAAATCCCTGGAAACAAAACTGCTAGTGCTTGAAAGTAAGTAAATGTGAAAAGCTTTTACCTGTGGTGAGGAGATCTCTCCAAAATGATTACACCAAACCAACTTCACAGTTGTACATAACAAAAGTCAGAACAACAAAGCTAAATTTGAATACAAACATCTGTACCTGAGCATATTAAACATAGGGTAATCACCTACTTTTCCTGTAATATGGAGTACCTCCAAATGAATACAACCATCAAGGTTTCAACTCCATAAAACTGAGTCAGAGCAACAGAACTGAATGCAACCACCTAATTATCTGAACAAAAGGGTCACTGTGACCTATTTTGCATGTAGAAATTTCTACCTTCCAAGGTGAATGCAATTTCCTGGTTTCATAACTACATATAAAACTATCAGAAAAACACAAACCCTTAATGTTAACACTAAATCCATACCAAAAGTGATCCCTATGTCTTTGCTGGTAAGACAAAAAAAAAAATGGCATAACAAAAATACTTTTTTAAAACTGTTTTCAAACTTTAAACATGTCATTATAGCAGAAGGATATGCACTACATATAATAGAGTTAAAGTAATTAGTTTAATTAATCAGCAAGTTAAAGCATGACATGAATGATACCATCTACTGGTTTTGCTTCTGGCAGAACTCCCTCTTTAAGGCTTTCATCCTGTGGTCTATAGCTTCTAAATATAGGTCTGAAATCACAAAATAGACAGAAATTATACCAAAAGACTGAAATATGTCTAAAATTCTATCAAGGCCACAGATATTACAAAGCTATAAAAATGCTGATTTACCATATATAAATATTTCAATTTCAGAAGCTTCCCAACATTATAATATTGACTAACCATTCCAATGGATGCAAATTAATATCAAAACAAGAAAATCCAGAAAGGATCAATTTGCTAATGGCCAAAATGAATATATAAAAATTCTAAAGTTTGTTCCCCTCTATTATATAAATCAGATATCATTCAAGATATTCTTCAGAAAGATCTGCAAGCTAGACTGATCAAAAAAAATCCATCAAAACTTGTTCATCATCGCATTCATAACCCACCACATAAAATTCCAAATCAAGATCTTTGACATTGAAATTAATTATCAGAGTACATTCATGTTAATGGACAAGTTTAATTCAGGACCAATTAAATATTGCATGCATTGTTTTTGTGAAAACCCCTTGTCAAAGCTACTATTCTTTACAGAGGACAGGAGTTTTTAGATGGATACAGTAGTAGCCATGTTCATCATATCAGCCCCATTTTCATTTAGAAGCTTGGGTGATGGTTACTGTAGCTGCCATGCAAAAGTCAGAATACAGTCATTTTTAATATAAGCACATTTTCCCACTACTCAGCAGTTAGTCTAAGTCTTTGAATTTGCTGTGTTTCATTCAAGAACCGCTCCAGTGGCCTAGGTGGGTTAAAGCATCCACCTTGGATGTGGGAGGTCATGAGTTCAATCCCCAATCAAGTCATACCAAAGACCTACAAAAATGGTACTATCTGCTGCCTCGCTTGACACTCAGCATTAAGAGGTTAGAGTGTTAGGAGTGATCAGGATAATGTGACTGGGTGGGACATCATGCCACATGTCTGCAGCATGATGCCCAGTGCTAGACATCACTATAAACTGCCACAATGGAGACATCGTAGCAGTATGACTGAAAAAATGTTAAAACTACATTAAAAATCATAATCACATCACACCGTTTTGTTCAAGAAACATTTCTCCCACATGAACATACTGAAATATACTTCAGCATAACTCAATTATCGTCGCATTGCAATAAATTCAAGTGTAAATCAATGGAACATGAAAATGGTCAATTTGCTATTGTCATATTTTGATTCCACCAGGATAAAAACAGCACAGTAAGTATATTTATTACACATAAATTAGTATATGAGTGTCAATATAGGCTGCCAAGTGTGTAAGATATTCCCGAAACTTTGACTACTCGTTCTGATCTCAATGACATCGGAACTGGCAATGTAAGGACGTTATTAGGAAAGCAAGACATAGCACCAAAACAAAAACGTGCTATGTCTTATGCTGTATGACTACCAAATGTGTAAGATATTACTAAACCTGTGAAATGTGGTTCCGATGTTAAACGACATCGGAACACGCTATACAGCGCCATTACTTGGGCAGTAAGACCCAGCGACCCAAAATATTGATATCAGCATCGAAGTCTTACATGTAGGACTATATATCCCAACCACCTCTACTGTGCATTACCAACAGCTACTTAGACCAACAAGTAGGTCTCTGCTTTTTTATATCTGCTGCTGTTAGATATAGAAAAAAAAGCAGAGACCTACTTGGTCTAACAGCTACTATGAACGTCAAAACAGAGGAGTCGATTATATTATTACTGTACAGTACAGTCTTACGGGTGCATTTGTTTACTACTATAACAACTTATTGGATGTTTAGGTACTTCGGAAGTTTTTCTTTCTTTGATTCCGTGTCCCCATCTTCGTGATCATCAGGCCCTTTGACATTTTGTTGATTCTTTAAATTTTTTAGTCTCTCCTTGCGCTTCAACGCCGCATCTTGTAGAGTGCCTACTTCGGCCATGGGGTGACCATGGTACATACCTGTGCTGACTGGGACAAATGCAAAGAGTATCCGAATTGTGGGGGAAACAACTAATAGTGATTTGAAATGTTAAATCCGATCCGACGGTGACGGATATTTATAATGTTTGTTCGTGGCACAAACTCATTATCCTTTGACATCAGTGTTAGATTCTGACAAACTAAAAAAGTAAAAGATAACTTTCTGAAGAATCAAAATTGTGTGCGTTGCTGCATTTTCTAGCGATATATGCGAACAAAGGAGAGAAATGATAAAAGCTACTTCATTCATTGAATTCGTTCCAGGTAGGTACAACATAATTTTGGCCTCTGAGGAAAAAAATTTAAATAGCCTATGTGCACAGACAGAATCTATGTAAAGTTGATAACACCAAAATAAAAATCTTTAAAAATTAGAATGTAAACCTTCATTCTCATATTACGGTCAATGGCATGAACATACATACATACATACATACATACATACATACATACATACATACATACATACATACATACATACATACATACATACATACATACATACATACATACATACATACATACATACATACATACATACATACATACATACTAATACTCTCTACAACCGCTTCGGTGGTCTAGTGGTTAGAGCGTCCGCCTCAGATGCGAGAGGTCACGGATTCGATGTCCGGCTGAGTTATACCAAAGACTTACAAAAATGGTACTAGCAGCTGCCTCGCTTGTCTCTCAGCATTAATATGTTAGTGTGTGTTAGGATTGGTCGGCCCGGTGTCAGGATAATGTGACTGGGTGGGACCTCATGCAACATGTCTGCGGCGTGATGCCCCAATGTTACAATGTAAAACATCACTATAAACTGCCGCACTGCAAGCCTAGTAGTGATACGACTGAAATACTGCAAATGTTACGTTAAAAATCTAAATCACACACACACACATACACACACACAACATTTTGACTTGTGATATAACTTTAAAGACTGTTTGGGATTTAGTAAGCTCTTTTTTTAATGTTTCTCTTCGTATTCTAGAGAAAAATTATTTGCTTAATTTTTGTAAACTTTTTGGTTGTCGCTCTGTTATATTACTTGGTTTAAGAACAACTTTTAGAAAAGGCGTAAAATGTTTAATATCAGATTCAAACTATTTTTCACAGACTTTAAAGATTTCAATGCCATCATGTTACAGCTAAATTTGCTCCAGATCTGGTGAAGTCCAAAAATTTTAATGACTATTGTTTTCGATGATAGATGAAAATTTATTCTGTAATACTTTAATAGGTATCCATATCACAATCCTAGTCCAAACTGAGGTGCTATTGAGATTTAGTTCATTCAGAAAATTGATTCGTCATTCACTGGTACTGCAGACTTGAAAACTGCAATACAATAATCAGACGATTTGCCAAATATCTAACTATATCTGGATAATTTGATGATCTTAGCATATTGACCTGTCCAGTAAGATAACAACGAATACTAACAATCAGATAGAGTTGTGGAAAACAATGATTTACCAGATAAATATTAGTACAATTATCTAGATTGTACCTAAGATTTGGTTTGCGTCTTTTGTTATGTAGCTGAATTGGTTGTAAAGAATTTGGATAGAACGGTTGTGAAATACAATATTTTATTCAACGGAAGTCAAAATCTTTATAAATTAAATGCCCCGGACCTTTCCAGAAATGTAAAGATTTGCGTTTACATACTTTAGTATGTTTGTTTGTTTGTTTGTTGTTGGGCTTAACGCCATTTTTCAGCACACGATAGGCTATTCATGGCGGTCAGTATTAATGGTGGAGGAAGAAACCGGTAAATCACTGGAAAGAACCACCGACCCACGAGAAGCTACTGGCAAGCTTTCTCACATATCTACATTAGCCGAATCCTAGACTCGAACACACGCAGACAGAGGTGAGATGGCAGTGATCCGTAACGGACAGCGCTTTAGACCACTCGGCCACTCGGGGCCCCATACTTTAGTAAGATACTGTTACAAGCCAGGGGTCTTTGTTTGACCGAGCGGTGTGAAAACTCTGGCGCGAATCCCGCTAGAAATCATATATTTACCCCAAATTTCCAAAGACTTCTTTAGAACTTCAGTTGTAAGTTAAAAATCCCGACGTGTCCATTCTATACATCAAATTTACTCCAATCAATGCAAGACCACATTATTTACAAATTGCAATTAGCCATCAACCGCACGTCCGCATAGTTTCTCTACATCAACTTTCCGTTCCCCCACTAGTTCACACCGTAGAAACACTACAACTAACCATAACAGAGGGGACTATTTTAACTACGCTACCTTGGGCCAGTCAATCTATGGTTTCAAGACACATCACACCAGTAAAACTACATCACATTTGCCACCATGGCGACATAAACGTTATCAGCCGAGACTTTTTTTATTTATTCCATTGTGTAATTTACCGGTTTCCTACCATAAATACTGCAACTGCAGTCACAACGCCAATTTACACAACTAGATTTTATGAAGTACTACATCACTCTAGGAACAGTCATGCGGACTGGGTCTGAATTCGTTACTCATTGATCATGGCATCTTGGAAACTCACTAACACTTTCTGTCCGTGACGATTGCTAATTATTTCGGGCTAAGGAATATTTCCCATTGCACCGAATTCCAAATCAAACAAGTAATCACACAAACATAAGAATTGTTTAAACGGGGCGTTACAACAAAATGCACATCTCCTTAACTTTATTACAATACTAAACAATTGTTACAAGTTTTACAGAGAAAAAGTGAGAAAGGTACCACCCGGAGCTAGTAATGAACAAAATAATTGCACAGAATCTGTGCTGTATTATGTATGAAAATAAGTATGGAATAATACACCAATACTTCAAATCAAGTTTGTACATAAATGGAAATGCTTTCTTTTACTACTTCCGACAAGACAAAGGATTATATACACAACAGCCATTGTAACTTTAACGATCCTCATCCTTCAATCTCCCTGAATGAGCTGGAATAGTGCTACACTAGCAAGCAAAAGTACTGGAAAAAGTGATCGAGAACATTTTTAACATAGCAATAAAGCAAATTCTGTTGACAATAAAAGGTCTCCCGAACATGCTTTATTCACAACTTAATATTATTTCGAGATAATAGTTTACAGAAGCCACTACGTATTTTACAGTGAACAGCAAAAAGATAGCAAAATTAAAGTTACAATATTGTTTCACTGATAATCATTATATAAATATATGGCATGTTTGCATGCATGTATGTATGTAATATTATATGTATGTATGTATGTATGTATGTATGTATGTATGTATGTATGTATGTATGTATGTATGTATGTATGTATGTATGTATGTATGTATGTATGTATGTATGTATGTATGTATGTATGTATGTATGTATGTATGTATGTATGTATGTATGTATGTATGTATGTATGTGTGTATGTATGTATGCATGCATGTATGTATTCTGAAAGAATTAAAGTGTTCTAATGAATTTTAATCATGAATGTATTGATGTACCAGTAGCCTGGAATGTGACCTTATGCTAACTGTACTAAGGTATTACAATGATATATTTCAAAATGTGCTTGAATGAATTAACAATAATCCCAAAATAGTGATTTAATACAAAATATTATTGAGAACTTTATAATCTCAGAGAATAAGTTTATAAGAAATAAACTGATTCCTTTAAGACTAATGTTAAGATATGGAATGAATAATTATTAAGTCAAATCAAAAACATTATATAAAAACTATGACACAATAAAAGAACCAGGAGGTAGTCCAATTTTGAAATAAAATTGGTAAACAACTTACTTCTGGACCTTCAACTCAACATATACAAATATATTTACCTCCTAGTAATAACGGTCTTAAAAAATAATTTAAAATCATAGACAAGAAGTAGCTATGCAATATATTGTTTATAAAAAAAGACATTAGTCAAGTAGGCCCAATTCATATTCTCAATTGTGGACAACGATCAAACATACAGTGCAAATTGCATATACATAACAATATACAAACAACTTTATTTGAATATTTTAAAATCAGCAACAAAATATGATAGTTTACTTTCATAATGTCTAGGTTTTGTTTGTTTCGGCGTAGTGAGAAGGTGTTAGCCTAGATTTTATTCGAGTTTTATTATATATGAATTTAGACCATTGTATATGAGTCATTACATACGTATTCCACATAACAAGGTTTGTAACATTTAAAAAATATTTTATTTCTCTAGAATACAAAGTGAAAATGAAAACAAAACAACTAGCGGTTTTACACATTAAATCCCAAAATAATCCAAGAATTATTGACACAGGTCCTAGTAATTTAAAAGTCCTGAATAAAACTCAATTCAAGTCTCGAAGAAATCCAAAACCTACAGGCGATGACGTGTCTGATATAGCTTATAGAGTGCTGATGTGTCAAAAATCTTTTGCTGAATCACAGTAATATAATTTCAGGTTTGAATTCAGTATAAACTCCAGTGAATGTCTCTATTCAAGAATTTTATCATAGCACTTTTGTATTTCCAGAGAAAATAGAATTCAATAAGTTGAAGAAAAATGTTCTTCCCAACTGAAAAACAACTTTATACAATCTTAAAGTGCTAGATGTTCAAGCACGAATGACCAAGTCCTCACAGTTACAAGATTATATGGTTTTCTACTTGACCTCAGGTCACAATTAGCATTTTCTATTTTGTTTTAAAAATTACCTAATGGAAAATAACCTTCTAGAATGATCCTGATGTTTACAAAATCAAAACCATAACCTGGTTTACACTCAGGAAAACTCAAAGCTTAGATCTCAATAAACATATTTACTTCTATTACTAATGATCCTGATATTAACCCCATACACATAGAGAATAATTTACCTATATATTAGCTGTTTACACAAATTTAAATATAAATGGTGAAGCAGAAATGAATTCAATTTAGTACAAGGTCAAGTCCATTATATAATGTTACTTTACAAAAGCATGTAATAGTTTTTTAAACTAACAAACAAACATTTAAATTAATATACATAGCAAGAGATGTATTAAAATTTAAATCAAAAAGCAAGGACATGGTGTATAAATTGCACATATTGTGTGCGGTACCTACGGACACAATAGAAACAGTTTTTTTTTTCTGTCAGCGTACTCGTTTGTAACTGAATGGTCTTGAGCGTTAGTACACTATGTTAAATTTCGAATCCAGTAGACATATGTTCGAGCCCACGTAGAGGTACTCCGTTTAGAGAAACCTTGTTGAGACTTCATCACCATCATTATTATCATCATTAATAATAACTAATGCCTTTGGTTGTCTCAGACATATGTGCCTGCAAAATAGTTTTTAGAAATGTGATATTCAGACACGCATGGAAACGTCTCGTTCATATAAAAGATGATGAGTTTTCTGACCATACATTATCAGTTATAAATATTTCGTTGTATGGGTAACACAACAACGTAACCTTTTTTCAAATTCTGAAAATTAAGAAGGTATTTATATCTTCATCTGCTTACTGATTGGTTCGTGCAGAATTAATGAGCTATTTATGTTTAGTTTTTATGCCGCCCGAACGCACCCAGGGTATGACCAAGCTCTCATACTTGTTTAAGGCAAAGGCGTATTAATGACTGATGTTAAATTAGAATGCGTAAGAGATATTACCCACTGCAAGATGTCAGACTCAAAAGATTCCTTTTAAAAAAAAAAGTGAAGAATTTGTTTGTTCGTTGAACATTTTTACGGTATTTAGTGAAAATTCGAGTCAGAGACTAGTTATGCTTTGTTCAGTGGTGAATTAATTTGCAATATGTTTCTTCTTTGTAATATAATTTATTATATATTTTTATATATTTTTAATCCAAACATAAAACTCGACTAAGATAACCGGCGTCGGGGCGAGGTATTATGTGAATATTGTCCATATCGCCAGGCTGAAAGGCGCAGTCGGAAACTTTTACTTTTATTGCAGCTAAAAAAGCCCAGTCTGGAACTTCAATTTTTTTTGATTTTTTTTTTTGTAGCTGAAATAATTTTCATAGTATTTCGCCTTCACGTAAGTGTAACGGGAGCTGTTATTCATAATATTTCGTATAGACAAGTATTTATTTCATTTTATTTATTTTTGTTTATAAATGCAAGAATTATAGTATTTCAAACATTAATAGTGCCAGAAAATATACCTCTTTCAATTATGAAGTAGTGTTTTTATACTCATAAATACCTTGTGTAACATTATATTTTCAAAAATTATTAAAAAATATAAATACTTTCAGTCTCACAATCTTTGCTCAAACCACAGGCAGTTAAATAATTTTATACAAAGGGACTTTTGTTTTTCATTCTTGTTTTTTAGTCTCCCCATCGTATAGACTTTCTCCCATGTTATAATAAACTAATATTACATTGTTTGACCATTTTGGGGTCCAATGTATGTTTTTAACAGAAAATGGGGGTGAACAAATACGGTTTTGAAGGAAAGAAGCTTAGGGTGGACAGCGGAAAATGCTTATATTTGTGTCCCACCATCCCCCATCCTCTTATAGTATCAAGCACCTGAAGGATGCAGGCAGAACACAAAATATTGATTTTAAAAAATAGCACCCATTTATTATGAAATTAATTTCAAATTTGCTCGTAAAAAGCCAGTGCAGTCTATGCTGATTATAAAATGACTTATGACGAGTTTCATTTGCATATGTATTTTAAATTGATTAATCTATATTGGCTTTATTTCAGCTTGTATGAACTGTAATTGTACAATTTCATTGGATACATTTACAGCCGCACGTACATCTAATATTTATACAAGGTGTATAAAAAAGCATATCAATCGAGTATGTGTTAAACGCAATAATTTTACAGTTAATTCTGAATTCTGTTTTCTAAACATACATACATACATACATACATACATACATACATACATACATACATACATACATACATACATACATACATACATACATACATACATACATACATACGTACGTACGTACGTACGTACGTACGTATCGCTCCGGTGGCCTAGTGGTTAGATCATCCGCCTAGGATGCGGGAGGCTGCGGGTTCCAACCCCAGCCGAGTCATACCAAAGACTATAAAAATGGTACTAACAGCTGCCTTGCTTGGCGCTCTACATTAAAGGGGACAAACATGCAAAACAGAAATTCGCGCAAACTCCGTATATAATTTGCTATATATATATATATATATATATATATATATATATATATATATATAAATATATATAAATATATATATATATATAAATATATATATATAAGTTTCATTTTCTGAAAATTTGTACCTTTCTTTTTTACTCATTACGAAGAAATCTATGAAAAACCGATCATGTCTCCCGATCTGTCTTGAATAAACTAACGCACTCCCCCCCCTCCTGAACAATTAGCGGATGTGACGTCATTTGAGACACTACACGCTGGCATTGTTGATAATAGCACAGAAGTCTGCAGTTTTATCAATAAAGCACGACAAAATTTTTGACTACATGAAATCACCTCACGGTATTATCAAATAATTATTTTATATTATCGTTAAGGTAATTTCATATAGTCAGAAATTTCGTCGTGCTTTATTGATAAACCTGCAGACTCCTATGATAATACAGTCAATCATTCTATGAGTTGGCTGAACTTGAATGTTTAAATTATGTCGACTGTCAGTGATGTGGATGACAATCCAGAAGTAGAATATTTCATGAACATCCAACTTTATATGTATGAACCCGAGACAAATTCGTGTGACAAAGATGTTCAGGAATCGTCAGGTTCTGACAATGACGATGATTATAAACTACCTTTAATTTTAAATACCAAACTAAATAGCAGTACAAAATCTAATCAATAAACCGGGTAGGGAGAGGGCTATAATTTTCTACCGATTACGATTTCTTTCACAATTCATTTTTTGTTTCATTAATTCTTCTTTCTTTTCATTTTCTTTTAAAAGTCAAAACAATTTTATATTACAGATCAGAGTTTTTCTTGACAGTTTTTTTTTTTTTTTTTTTTTTTGGCGGGGGTAGGCTGGAAATTGGTTTTCACTTTCTATATCCTGGATAATTCCAACAGCTATTGATATGGACTTGCACATGTCATAATTGGATGAATGCTCGTCAAAGAAATGGACATCTAAAATATCAAACAGGCAACTTTTTTTTTTCAAATAATTTTAGCCTTTATTCCACACAGGTGCTTGTGTAGTAAATGTGTTCCAATGTCCAACCAAGAATGGAATATTTGTTGCCAATCTCAGTGGCTCTCGGAAGAGAAAGTGTGTGCACCTCTTCCAAGGTTCCATAAACCAATCTGTTACAAAATAAATACCACTTAGCCATGTATAAAGTGATTGAATTGTTGTGAAATTATGTGTAATAATTATACTATTCATTAAATTATTTTGTCCTTTTAGACTCTACCGACACATATCATATAGACGATTTTTCCGTAGGGTGTAGAATATACTAGGTAAAAAAAAATATATAAATATTACCATCATTTGTAGTGAGCACGATTCGCAAGACCTTCTCATCTGAAACCTTCACATGATTCGTGTATTCTCGCTTCTGACTGATGAATCTGAAAACTTATGACAGTTCTAGAAATATGTGTGAATGTATGTGAATAATGGCAAAAAAATATCAGAAGCTACTGAGGTCTTAAACTTTATTGGCTGAAATTACACGTTCAGGTATTGAAACGTTGACGGTGCTCCTAAATTATTGAGTCCTTAATGCTCCCACAGGAGTCTACAGTTTTATCAATAAAGCACGTCGAAATTTCATGTAGTCAGAAATTTCGTCGTACTTGATTGATAAAACTGCAGACTCCTGTGATGCTCCCTGGCCTATGTCGACTACGACTCGCCTTCGTGCTTCCCGTCTTCTGTTTTGTTATCAGAGTAGAAAAATATTTTTTTTTATAAAAACAAAAAGAGTCGGCACTGCATCAGGCTTCAAACGCTAACGTTTTGGCTCAGACCCAATAGTTTGAAGAGTCTCTGGTCTTTTGAAAAACTTTCATGCTCGAAATGTCTTGGTCATAAATCCCTTCTCTCTTTAATTTGATCGCCCATACAAATCACCCTTTAGGGTCCTATAGAAATGTGAGGGAAAAAAAATATTTGTCGGGAACTGCTTTTATTCACACAATTCAGAGCTGCGCATTGAAACATCGTTTCTACTTGACACTGAGTATTTATATGCCTGTTGAACGGGAATCGTCTCAAATGACGTCACATCCTGCTTGTATGAAAGGGAGATAACAACTTGAGGGGTAGGTTCTTTCCATTTGATCTCTAAATTCAACGCATTTTTATTATTAAATTTTTGTGCAAATACAATAAATGCAAAGAAAAAATAGTCAGGATAGATTATATACACAAACTACTACATATACTTCTATTTGCAATAAAATTTTGCAGATTAGGGTTTTTGTCCCCTTTAAGAGGCTAGTGTTAGGACTGATACATACATACATACATACATACATACATACATACATACATACATACATACATACATACATACATACATACATACATACAACAATGTTAACAATGATAACCATACAAAGATATAATACGGGGTTTATTGTGATATCCATAGACTAATCGGAAATTCGTCCAAGTTATACGTGTTCTCACTGCTATCTGCATTAAACCTGGATATATCTACATGTATGTGCATTAATAGGATTTCTTCTGACCTTCCGTCTAGTACCGTTAGCTATGTGCAGTACGACAGGATTTCTGCAGTAAGACAGACCTGTCATTGAATACCATTAGTTATGTGCTAGACCTGCTATACTGCACAGTTTTCTCTGTGCAGCAAGATTACACTTCTACTAACCTGACTTCCGGAACCGTTAGCTGTGGGCAGTGAGGCCATAGTACACAATTAATTTCACTATATTGTCTCTACATTTGTTTCTCAGTACTGAACTTTCCACTGTGTGACAATCAATACAAATCATATGTTAATCTAAAATACCTTCAAAGATAACTTTACAAATTAGTTCTTGTCAAGGGTTGACCTGCATTTTTTTGAGAGGCTGAATTGTAAACAAAACACCAGGCAACAGAACACAGATTTCACTTCCGGATCATCACCATGACCTTATTACTCAATGTGCACTGTCGCCGAAATACACACAGACAACCACACCATAAGCTCACATTTTAAAGAATAAACAATTACTTTTAAATCCTTACCAAGAATGCCAAAATCGGACTCTAGTATCACCACCAATTTCGGACAGGAAAAAGTGATCTAAAAATAGACTGGGACTACATTCATTGAACCCGATTTTATTAATTGTGTACTGATTCCTGAAAGGGTCAATGTTTTTGTCAAACTTTTATATTTGCATTTTTTTTTGCATGCCACTACTATTTCAACTTCATACATAAAGTCTTTTGAAATTTCCTTGCAAGCAAAACACGTGACAGCTATCAGAAAGTGTGTAGTGCTGGTATTCTATAGGGTGCAATTTGAGATCCAATTGTTCTTAAGAAACCAAAACTAAATTTGCTATATCTTCCTTAATTATAGGAATTTTTCAATGCAGTAAAAACCTAATTGTAATACTTGATAAGGCCTGTCTGAAAATATTCTTGAAATTAAAAATATTGATATATTAAATTTTAATGAAAATTTAAATAAATATATAAATTTTAAAAGCTATTTATTTTACAAAAATTAAATTTTCATACAAGTTATGACATTCAGTTTGACAACTTTAAGGCAGAAAAGTTGATTAATTTAATGGTGTTTAAAACAAATGGTAGTTTAGGTCTGTACAACTGATAATATTAATCCCAGAGGTACTGAAGCATAATAGCTCACAATGATTTTGACAGCAAATTGCAACATGCCTATCCAAATGCATATAGGTGTACATACTAAAGAAACAATGACAGGTGCTATGTTCCAAATTTATTGTTTTAGGTACTTGGGCAGTTGTTTGTATAACTAATAGCCCACTCAAATTTAAAGTTTTGATGGGACCACTACCATGTTTTATAGCAAATATGCATTCCATTTTAATGCCGATAGCTACAATAGTCAACAATGCAATATGAAAATACAGTTTCAGGGAAGTTCAACCTTACTTAAAAATGATGTGAATCTCTGTCATGAAGATCTAAGCCATGTCTTTGAGAAGCTGTATATCAGTGTACTGATATGAACTCATCTTGGTCACTTATAGCAGCAGACTGCACATGTTCTTATAAGACCTTGCTATCACCATTGGACTACTGGAGAGCTTCCAAAATGATACAACTCTAATACTTTGTTCCAGATACCAGGCTAGACCTGAAAAGATATACCATGTTTCACTTAATTCTAAAAAAAACCAGAAAGATGTAGGCAAATGAAGTTAAAATGTGTTAGAAATGGTGATTTCAAAATAGCATTCAGGTTGCAAATAGGGTTAAAAAAGGTAAACTTGATAGAGTGACACTCAAAGATGTGAAGCAATGGGTATGTATTAAAGTGACAAATGCATCCTAAAAATGGATGAAGTTCCTACGAGCATATTTAGCCATTTACAGGTTAAATAACTAATCAGGTAGAGTATGTATCATAAAGTTTAAGGCAATGTTTGAACGGTGAGGTTTGATCATTGGTGCAAACATTGATACATACCAGTATAGTGGAAAGTCAAATGACAATGTACCAAATTAAAATTTATTACTATATGCAATCCTATTCATGAAGGAAAAACAATTTTAGATATTGCGAGTGAATATAGCAAAATGTGGCCACACAGATCAACTATAGGTACCAATAGATCCTATATCATCAACTAAATGTGAAATTTTCATCCCGAAAACTTGTAAACAAGGATGGATATTTGCATGTGTGGGACATATGCAATGTACTTGGTAACATCACATGTGCAAACATGATTCAAATAATCTGTTTGAACATTTTTAGTCTATTTTTAAGAGTCTTGGCTACCAAGTTATTAAGTTCAATGATTCAATGGAATCAGATATCAGCTGATGCTGCAATTCCGCCCTCTGTCAAAGTACTAAATTGAAATGTGTTACCATACAGAGA